TGGTAAAAATGTGAACTCGGTCAGACCATTTTTCCGAGGGGTCGTAATGTGACCCGATAAAAACTGGAGTTTTCCAGAAAATCCATATAAGAACATCTCATAAGATTCTGGGCAAAAATACATCGATTTTCTTTTTCGATGTTCTATCTCTGCTATAAATTGGAGCTCAATCGGACGTGTACTCCGCATTCGGCAACAAGGTGAAAAAGAGGGATGAGTACCCTTAAGCTTACCCTTTCTTCCTCTTTTATGTCTGAAAAATTGATTCGAAAATAAATTCATTGTTGAATAGCTCTAAGTTTTGTAAAGCACGCGCTTTTAGACATTTAAAGATAGTAGTTATAGATGATTTTTGGATTAAAAAATTGAGAAGACAAAATTTTTTTGTAAACTCACTAAATATTGGATCGTAAATGAAGGAACTACTTATGTTTTAGGTCACCAAAAGCACAATCGTATTGAAACATTAACACAGCAACTTAATAAGATTCACAGATATTGTTCGGATTACCATAAATTGCATATTGTCGAAAAACAGAACCATTTCTTTAACACTATTTATCATATTTTTGAAGAACGAATACATTATATACATAGATGCATCCTGTTTTGATCCTTCGAAGTCTTCTGGTCTATGTAATATGGTAATTATTCAAATCAGATTTGATTAGGCACTTTACACATACTAAGATAATCAAATAAAAGCATATTTTTATAACGAATAAAACACACTGTAAAAAAAGATATTTATTCAAATCGTCGCGTTGATTACAGTTCAACATTAGTTAGAAAGGCTAAAAGATAGGTCATCGTATACTGTTAGAATGAAATATCCATAAATTTTGCAGTTAAGAAATAGTTTTATAGTTTTAGCCAAATTTTGGGTTGTTCATCATATTTTATTTTAGTGAAATGTTGAGAAAACAGCTGCATTCAACATGATCAATTTCATATTCTCAGCAAGTTTCAGCATACACTTCGAAAAAAAGCTGAGGTTGATTTTCCAAAGCGGTATCCTGAAAAATGAAATCTTTTTTTCAAATTATAAAGATTCAATAGTATAATAATAATCGAAAAACAAAAAACCATTTCTAAAAACAATTATACTGGAATAAATGAAACAGGTGTAGTAATGAAGAAGGGTCTTTTCGTCTATCCTTCTTTAATCTCTTTTATTTTATAAGTAAAATTGTGCCTACTATGTGATAGGTTTTACTTCCTGTTCTTCTACATTTGATATAGAGTACTTCGGAGTAATTGAAGACACTCTTTGAAATTTTCATCCTTTTTCTGCCATTTCTCGGCCGTTTTTGGTCGAAAAAAGTTGCTATTGAATACGGTGGTAGACCGAACATTTTTCTACACGCTCATGTCAAAATCTTTTGAAAATCTTCGGCCAATTTTGAGTCAGATCCAAAATGCGAAGAGCTCCATCAAAGCGTTTCTAATTACCCCGTACGAGGTAAATAGAGATATTCCATTCAAATACATGAAGTTTTAAATGTACAATTGCTGGTAAATTAAGCTTAGGAGATAATTAGTTCAAAAAGATCTCATTTTATAGGACGGATCTTCCTCTCTCTACCATATAGTTTTGAGCTCATTATCATTTAAACTCAGTAAGCTAATTAGCATATAATCAGCAGCACTAGAAATTTTCTGTTTTCCTTTTTTATGCTTTGGGGTAAATAGAGACACTCCACTAAAATACACGGGATTATCAGAGACAAACCTGTACCGTCTCTCAGAAGTCGATTTTGATATTACACCAAATGACAAAGTTCTTCAGAATGCTGAACTCTATCACATATGTGAAAACCGGAAGAAAATAAAATATTTTCAGCGGTTTCTGTGCACACAATGAACATTGTCAATTTTAAACACATTTTTTTCATTAAAATTATCAAAATAATTAAGCTAGAGTCATTATTAACAGTCAAATTCCAATCCCGTTGAACGTTTCATATACCTTATGCAATTCTCTTCATATTACATCAAAATTCTTTTATAGAACATACGGTTTAAGGCCAACATTTCCACTTTGCATTAGGCATGCACTGGTTATTTTATGGGGGCTCTCCGAGGCTAGCGGTTTTAAAAATCGGAAAAAATTTTTAAAATTTTTTCGAGTCGGTAGTTTTGTGCACAAATGTTTGCTCTACAAAATAAGATATTGCAGACTTTCTTACGATGGTTTGTCGATGAGATATGAATTTTTTTCTCTAAAATAGAACCGGTCACAACCGGTTAACAACATAAATGAATAACATGATAAAATCAAATACAGTTGTACTGTTCATAATCTTCATTAATGTCTATTTCTAATCTTTTATAAACATCAGATGTTTTTCGTTTTCTTCTGCACTAAAGCGATCAAAATAATTACAGTTCGTCAAAAAGTCGTTAGATTATTAAATGTAAACGGTAGCGACTCTTATTCTAGCTGACTCATTCATTCAATGGATTAATTTAAAAAACAAATTTTACTGTGTAATTAATTCTTCTTGTAATTAACTTTTAGATACATTTTTTTCTATGCAATCCGAGTCAATACTAATTTGATTTTGAAAACAAGACTGTAAACTCGCATAGTACTGGATCTTATGCATACATAGTGTGTCGATGCTTTATTTTTGTTATATTAATACTAATGTGCCTACACAAATCATTTTTTCCTGTTGTTACTTCTTATTGATGTCATGTTGTAGTGATAGTACACTTTAAAGTTCTTTCATGGATCTGGCTTGTGTGATATAGTTGTATCAGTTGAGTTTCTGGAGAAAAATAGATAATAATTTTGAGAAAAAAATCATCTCGATAATTCCCATATTACTAATTTATTAATTATCATACAGAATGAGCCTCGCAGTATTTTTTGTACAGAGTTTTCTCGTTGGATTGTTTAGAGTTCTCTTTTTCTGCATATGTCATACATTTACTACAAACCTATTTTTTTTCAACGTTATATTACTAATATTCTGAAAAAAAACAGTAAAATCTTGACGGTAGGTACCACCTGTGATGGTAAAAGATAAAACTTTCAAGGAATATGAAGGAACTAACTTTTTCTTCTAAACCTTAAACTATAATGGGCTACAACAGAAAAAACTATTTTTCAGATTGTAAAGTTGATCTTGTCAGTTACTGACAAGTATGCAAAGTAGTACTTCGCGCATAACTTTTCCCGCATTTTTTTTTCAATTTTACATATTATGTACAAAACACAATATGCACTGTGTAGACAAGTTCATGGAGCACTCTTCAAAAAAGAATGAAATCTAAGCAGTGGAATGAAAACATTTTATGCAGAAAATACTGAATGGCTCATATTTTATGACACACTATATATAACACTTCTAAATTACTTTTGTCGAACAATTGACAAATATGCATGACTAGTTGTTCAATCATCTCATTTTGGTTTGAAACTAAAAAATCTTTCAATATTTATTCAAACGGATATTTACTTTATTATCAAAAAATACGTCATGAAATATGAAAAACCTACAATAACGACGATAATCGAATAACAACAAGAAAGTAATACAATTATTTTACACTAAAAACAATATATGACTACATTTAACGTTAATATTAACAGCAAAATCAAGAAAATAATACGACAGAATAAAAAATAAATATTGGTTCTGATGAACGTAAATGTAAACTCTCTCAAAAATGTGTCATTATATTTGAATAAACTCAGAGAAAACTTAAACCATTTCATCATTATATATCTCATCGTAAGAAAGCAGAAAACAAATTGCTTGTAAAATGTAATATGCAAGGTTAATGACACATGTTGACAGAATAGAGAAGTATTTCGAAAATCTTGCACAAATCTCTCGAAAAGAAGAATGTCAGTCGAATTATTGCGTAAAAAATTAAATGAATCGTCATGTAAATCAGTGTAATAAAATAACTATATACTTTTCTCATCATTACTAATATTCACGACGTGTTCAGCAAAATAAATAAATGAAAACACATATAATTTTCTATTAAAATAATGTAAATGCTAATTTGACGGGATGAGATTATAAAGTTATACTGCCTTGCCAAATTTTTCAGAAGATCAGTATATGTTTGTGTGATAAGAACTCTCAGATCGATAGCTTGATGAAAATAGAATGTACGCACACTAAAAGATATAAATTGCATACCAAAAACGACACACGCAAACGTAAATATCCATAAAACTCTATTTTTTTTAGTGAAAAATAAACAAAATATCTATACTAGACAATATAACTTGCAACAACAATGAAAACTTAACAAAATTTCAATGACAAGGTATTTTTCGGATGTTTAGAAATTTTAGAAAAAATCTCACTCCTAAAATTCGTCTAATCATATTACGAGTGATAATGCTGAAATAAAAGATAAAAGTATTTGCTGGATTTAGAATAATTCCACAACATTTGAAAGAAATGATGTTTGAAGAGAAGCAGGACGGTTCTACTGAGATAATCTATAGCGAATGAAGTTTAACTTTGAATAACTGTTAGTATAATTTAAAGGATCAGAAGATGATCTAGCTCATTAAAAATATCCTATATTCTATTTTAATTGTCTCTCAACATCTATTTAGTGTCGTGGAATAAATAAAGAAAAGAACGAAAATAAATAGCACACTGTTCTAAAAAAATTATGTATAAATTTTGTATTCTAAATAATAGTAGTAAAAGACAGAATGTTAAACAGAAAAAGAAACAATCTCACACACCTACAAGACTAGACAACATGAAATAAAAATACTGTTCATGATATTTGACCTGTTCACTTTGTATTTTTAACTTCAATAACATATGCTTCATATGCCCTAAATCGTAAATATTTTGGATCGGAATAATTGCTAATTACAATCTTTCCACTATTTAATATATCAATTAATTTTTGATCATCAATTTCTATGGGTTGTTGACTAAAATTGCAGCATACATACACTTCTCCATCATTATCATATCTTTTATACATATATAGATGAGTATGTGATTCATATAATATCTCATATTTTCCATATGTTATGACAGACATTTGTTTTCGTAATTGAATTAACTTCTGATAATAATAAAAAATAGAATTTGGATCATCTAGAGCTTGTTCAACATTAATATCAATATAATTATCATTGACACCAATCCACGGTACTTTAGTTTCATGACCATTTGTAAATCCTGCATACGGTTCTTTAGCTGTCCATTGAATGGGTGTACGACCATTATCACGAGATTTAGCGTAAATAGCAGCCAGTATTTCTTCCATTGACATTCTACCCGCTAAACAAAAAAGTAAACAATAGATATCAATTCAATAATGCAGATTAAGACCTATACATCGTATAGAAAATGAATACATCCACTTCAATAATGTAAAATTCAGAAAAACACAATGTAAGACTTGAATCTCCACTCTACCAAACAGATTATCATAGATAACTCCACATAAATGACAAACCTTTGACTGCATCATCGTGAAAATTAATTGTTTCTATATCTCGATAGTCAGCAAGTGTTTGAAAGCGTACATTGGTCATGCCTGTAATGAAAATATACCCTTTCAATAAACTTTTGTGTAATTAGTGATAGAATAATTTACCGATTTCTTCGCCTTGATAAATATAAGGAGTACCACATAGAAAATGTAAACAAGTAGCTAACATTTTTGCTGATTCAACTCGATAATTTGAATCATTGCCAAATCGTGATACGATTCGAGGTTGATCATGATTATTCCAATAGAGACTGTTCCATCCTTTTCCCCATAAATCTTTTTGCCATAAAGTGAAATGATGTTTTAAATCTGTTAATTCTAATAGTTTCGGAGTCCATTTTCCACCTAAGATATATATGCAGAAAATAAAATTAATAGTTATAATTTTTAAAAAGCTAATAAGTTATTATTTTAACATTAAAACATCACGTTACCTACCATCCAAATTCATATGTTCAAATGTAAATATCATATTCAATTCTTTTCGTTCAGGGAATGTAAATAGTTCAGCATCATACACAGTGGCATCTAAAACAGAAAGAAAATAGAATCTAAATATAAACTCAAATATATCTTTGCTTTAGTCTAATATCTCCAATAGCTTTTTTTATATATCAATATTTCTTAATATTGTACACATCAACGAAATCGTTCAACTATTATAATTAGTACATTTTCTCATTTTAGTTTTGTGATCATTCTCGTTTTCTGTAAAAACTAGAACTCTTAAGAATTAAATAATAATATTATACAAACCTGGTGTTTCTCCTACAGACATTATATCGTAATGTCGTAATACTTTTTCGTTCATTTCCTGTAAATATTCATGAATCTTTGGACCATTAATAAAATAGGGTGAACCATCTGTAAATTCAGAATTAGGATGTCGGGCACCTTCTGGATATCCAGGTGCTTTTGAAATAAAATTAATTACATCCATTCGAAATCCATCAATTCCTAGAAAAAATAATGTCTAAAATAAATCTCCTTGATAATGAGGAAACTCACCTTTATCAAGCCACCAACGCATCAACTTATAGACTTCATTCCGTACAGCTGGATTTTCCCATTTCAAATCCGGTTGTTTCTCTGTAAATGTATGTAAATAATATTGGCCAGTAATAATATCATACGTCTATAAGAGTAAAAAACAATTATAAACATATGATCACTTAAGTAAAATGGTCACCCAATTTTTGTGAAATAGAACTTGTCAAATAAAAATGAATGAAACGATATGACATATTTTTAGTGTTTATCCAGAAAAACTTGATCCATCATTCCTAAGGATTCTCAAGTGTTATAACTCGCCTTTCACATATTAAACGACAAAACGCACACCTAATGTAAACAATCTGATAATTTCCACCTTTGACTGTCTGAAGAAAAACCTATTTTGAATTTCTTAAAGCATTGATATACTTCAAACCTTTTGCGACTGTTAGTTACTAAACTATAGTTCTCAATTCTAGAATGTGAAAATCTTTAAGTGTAGGATGTTTCGATCATATTATAAAGTGAGTAGAGGTCTGCGGGACCAAACGTTTTTGGTCCCGGTCCCGGTCCCGTGGTCCCGTAAATATTTTTTCAAAGTAGCACCCGTAGTTTGAAAGTCAGCGCGTTGTAAATTACAAAGATTTATGTAATACTACTGCAGACACAAGTACAGAAACATTAACAAAAAAACAAAAATATGAAGAGCAGGATGGTGATAATAACAAGCACTGGAACCGTCCCGCAGACCTCTAGGTCCCGATCCCGCAAAAAAGATTTTTCTGGGTTTCGGTCCCGTAAAAAGTCCCGCGGAACGGGGATGGGACCGGGACTGGGACTGTCCCGCAGACCTCTAAAAGTGAGAGAGTGTACAGTTGTTCATTTATTTACCCATGTCGAACCACCAAAACATGCTCCCCATTGGGTTGGTGGTTTTCCATCCTTTGGTGGTGCCCAGTGATAAAAGTCTCGATAAGGATTATCTAAAAGAAGAAAAATAAAATGAACAATAAAAGTTTGAAATTAAAATAAGTTTTCTATTATTAACCTTTGCTCGATTTTGATTGAACAAACCAGTCATGTTCATCCGACGTATGATTTACCACTAAATCCATAATAAGTTTAATTTTACGTTCATGCAGTCCTTTTAATAAATTATCAAAATCTTCCATCGTTCCAAATTCATCCATTATTTTTGTATAGTTACGAATATCGTAGCCATTATCATAGTTGGGTGAATCGTAGACTGGTGACAACCAAACAACACCTACACCTAATTTTTTTAAATAATCTAATTTCATTGTTATTCCATTGAGATCACCAATACCGTCGCCATTGGAGTCGAAAAATGAACGAGGATATATCTGATAAACAACTGATGTTTTCCACCATTCCGGTTCCGCTGGTGTTGGTTTAGCTAATAATGTTGACATTTTTCTACCTAAAATATACAAATAGTGAATTAATGTACAAGTGAAAGTAATTTGTTCATTAGAAAATTATCTGCTATAAAACTGAAAAGATATGCCATATATCCATGAAAATACTGCCTCGAATAGTTGTTAACTCACGACATCCTACAAGTCTACGAATAGCTCCTCCAGCTATTTGATCTATGGACTGATGTTTCAGTGCATCTGGTATAGTGACACGAATGCACCTCAAACTTCAGTGTACTCAATGAAATTCAGATTGAAAAGACTAAAGATTTTATTTGAAAAAGAGAAATTTTTCGACTCAGAAGCGACTGATTATAGAGACATTCGCCGAGAGCGCCACTTGACAGCTAGATTTTTGCAGGCGATGCCTGTGGGGAATATCTCTTGAGTCGGAAAATTTCTCTTTTGCAAATAAAAACTATGATCTTTTCAATCTGAATTTCATCCATTGAGTTTCAGTTGGTGGACTGACCCCTACTGAATGTACTTAAAGCCAAGTACTTGATTACCTGCCGAGTACTCAGGGAGTATCAAGTGTTTTTATTTGCCTAAGTACTCGCCAAGTACCGTCACTTGGTTCGCTTCAATCAAGTACTTGAAGGAGTCAATTACTCTTTTGTTTTGTATTGATCAGTTGTATGTAAATGGCACGAAACGTCACAATGTCAAGCGGTATAAACTTAGAAAATAAATTTAGATATTTCTGCTAAGTTGAACAAACTTGATAGCCCTGTATGCGTGTGCTCTAGTATGCCTGCAGAATATGTAAAATAAAGGTAAATAAAACAAGTATTTGGATGAAGCTTTTCAAATAAATTTACTTGCATTGGGTTCAAGCTCTTGACAAGTAACTCAAAGTATTTGTGAAAAACCACCGACGGCAGGCTTCATTACTTGTATTCAGCACGTTTCCAAGTACATTCACTAGGGTTCGTGTCACTATAGCAGATACACATCAATCTACAGACCAATTTCTAGGAGTTGAAAAAAGTGAGTACTATATACTTGTTCACAGAACTTTCTTTTGAGTAATTTAATTTCTTAAAACTTTCAGTTGTAACTCAAAAGTTAATTCAAGTCAACTTTAGAGAAGTACTTCATACACACTCTAAAGATTAAACCAAAACGAAAAAAGAAACGAGCTTCGAGCAGAAAATTACCCAAGTGACGAAAGTTCAGACGATTTCTAAAAAGGTTAAAAAACAACATATCTGGCTTCTCATCCTACTATGTGCATATAATACACAAAATCAGCAATTGTCATCATCAAGCGAATAAACGAATAAACAACAGTGAACGCATTGACTGGCCAGTTTTTGAAGGACTGCAACATCTGTGTGCATGCATGTTTAAAGAAATTAGTTTGATAAATAAACTGTATTTACTTTTGATTTCTGAAATATTCTTAGATAAGAAGCCAAAACTATTCGAATGTCTTGATACGTGGCGTCACCTATTTGTTGTCCATCTACTGTAGACTTTTGTAGATTGTATAATGATAGATAATCGGTAATATAACAGTTTCGTTTGAATTCCATTTTCACATCCGATACGTGGCAGCAGTTTCTGTTATTAACACTTACTGCGGTATATACAGAAATTTGCCAGTTTACACGGATAAATATAGTTCTGGCATGACAGTATAGTTACGCATGGTTTGCACATGTTTACAACGAAATACAAAATATATAAGAAACTTTAAGGGATATTGCTTAGCAACGGCTGATTCGCACCGAAATGGAGGTTTTTGAATTGATTTCAGAGCAGCATTTACATTATGCGAGAAACAATGACGTGCTTAATGAAAAGTACGCCTAAGCGTACACAGATTTCGGTAACTATATCGTGTTTCCATTGCCATTGAACTAAGAGATGGTGAAACGATGAGTAAGGCACCAGCATAGATGTACGCCTGTTTAACTAAAGAAACCGCTATGGCTGTGTGGTTGAGGTGTTTGGTACGTACCCTCAAGGTACTGTGTTCGAGCCTCGGCGCCACCAGGCATGGAATGACCCTGGACAAGTCATTAGCGGTTGTTTGCCTCAGATCACCCGTCCGATAGCATGCTGGCTACGTTGTGGCATATATCAGCCGTCGTGGCTAGTATGTGGTTAGTTAGTGTGTACGAGGAGCGCAAGCGATTGAGAGAAAGAACTCTGAGTCAGGCTGGCCTTCTGTCCAGAGCTACAGCTAATATTAGTTGTAAGGAAGATATCGAGCTTACGAAACTGTCTCCAGACAGCACCCTATACCGCAAGGTAGCTGAAAGGCGGGGTATTCTTTCTGCCTTCTTAACTAAGACTAAGACTGTTTTATTCACGAAAAGTGTGAGTCATCAAAGGTCACCGACCTGTAATAACAATGACTCAAGCCAAGCAACATCAAAAGAGTAAAAAAAGAACAGAATAAACAAGACAACTAACGTTAGGACCAGAAGTAGTAAAA